AAATTAATAAATAATAAACAGGCCAATCAGTGTCTATTCACCATTTGACAACTAACTGGGGAGCTGAGGGTATGAAAGGACACTTCACCAAAAGTTGGGAGAAAGAAAGTATCACAAAAAGATTGGCCACACTTTGAAAATCTTTATCGCTGAGGTTTGGAGTAGGTGTTCAGGTATATGTATATGATGCAGTACCCTGTCCTTTCAATAGTATCTTCTTAGTAACTGAAGTGGAAAGACATGCCTGAATCTTTCCAAAACATATTGCTGGTTGGGTGACAAAAAAGAAGATATAAATCTGTTGTTGAATGGTGTCAGAATAAGAATGAAACATCAGTATGCCTAATGAAGCTGTCTCATTCATGTCTGCAATCAAGATGATGGTGACATCATGGAAATGAGGGAAGAAATCCAAGTTGTCAAACTTGGCTGGATTTCCATTAGGTTGGAACGAATGAAGTAACCATGGTAGGCATGCATCACATGAGGCAACAAGCAGATTTCTTCTAAAGTTTATGGGGAGAAACTTCAGAGCAATTTGACGTGGAACTTATTGCAGTGTATTTGGCCTGATGTTTTTTTAGCACAATTTGAGTTGTAGCTATTTCTTAAATGACTAGTTAAAATACAATCCATTGGAACTGCATAATGATAGACAGCACAAATAGCTAAAAGAAAATTAAAATTGATTGCCAACCTCCCACAGCCACCTTTTTCCTAGTAGCCAGACCTATGAAAACTGAAGACAAATATATATGTACATTTTTGAATGAAAAACTTCTAGATAAGGTGACAGCTAAAGAGGACAACTTATTGGCAGAATCATTTATTTATTTTATTTAAATAAAAAATAGATTTATAAAAACTACTGTACTCTGCACAGATTCTGGGGGCATACAATACAAATTTAGAAATAAATTGATAAATAAATAACATGACATGACACATAACTAAACATTAAAGAGGAAAAAGTCATAACCAATTCAAACTTCATACCAAATGACACAACTATTCCAGAGTTTGTAGGGGGGAAAAAAACTCTCAGGTTTAAAAAGATTGTCTAAACATTTGTAGAGTCATTAAGAGGAAAGGAAATCCTTTAGCTATTTGCTTTCTAGCTGTAATACTGTTATGTTTGGAAGGACATCTCTGGACGCTGTGGGAGATTTCACCTCAAATTTTCCCACCCCTCATAAAATTTCTTTCTGCCTTCTCATTTTTTGTAAGGCAAAACCTACTGATTTTAAGAATTTCAGTAGATACCAAACCAGCAGTTCCACCACAACATGAAGACATCTGCCTTGCTGACATGAGCCCAGAGACCATTCATCATTCATGCAGCCTCCTACATGAAAGCTAACACACTTGCAATATTGCAAGGCCTAAGTCCAAGAACAATAGTTTGGATTGTCATTGTAACTGGGTTTCAGGAATTATGTAGTCACCTGTATCATGAACCAGGCAAACTTTTGGGCCTATGTAATTGGAAATGGAAAGGACTACAGGTAGTCCTTGACTTATCACTACAACCGAGTCCAAAATTTCTGTTGCTAAATGAGTCAGTTGTTAAGTGAGCTTTGCTCCATTTTACAGCTTTTACCATAGTTACTAAATCAGTTGCTGCAGTTGTTAAGTTAGTAACATGGTTGTTAAGTGAATCTGATTTCCCCATTGACTTTGCTTGTCGCAAAAGGTGATCACTTGATGAAATCATATGATCACATGACTGCTACTGCCATAAATATAAGTCAGTTGCCAAGTCTCTGAATTTTGATCAAGTGACCAAGGGGATGCTGCAATGGTTGCAAGTATGAAAAACGGTCATAAGTTCCTTTTTTTAGTGCCATTGTAATTTCAAATGGTCACTAAAGGAATTGTTGTAAGTCGAGGACTACCTGTACAGAGTTGTGAAAAAAGGCTATGAGGAGGCATTATATGCACCAAAAACCCCATGTTACCAGCCTGTTTAAAAGCAAATGGAGCTCCTGAATATGTTCCTGGGAAGCCCAGTTAAATTGCATGAGGTAATCTAATGCCATTTATTATGTCTATATTTTACTATAATTTTAAGAAACTTCCTTTAAAGAATTCTCTCTTAGCCCAAATTGGATCAGACTGCTTCTTGATCAAAGGTATATAAATATTACAGTTTAGATGTATTCCTATTTTTTAAAAAATAAATTGAGAAGGGCCATAGATTTTCAGGGACTCCTGCTTTGATGTTTTAACAAAGCCCTAGATGCAGGCTTAGAAGAATGATGGGAACAGCAACAGCAGCAGCAAAAAAGAGAGAAAACTCACAGTTTTCAATCCTGAAATAACACTTGCCCAATGAGTCATGTGTTATTTTAAGAAAAATAGTATACTTCATTTGGTCTGCATGTGAGAGCTGTAAAAAGCAGTAGAGCATTCAAAATATATTTTGAAGAGTTACCTTTCAGGTTTATAGAAGTATGTGTGTGTATCCATCTTATGAGCATTACTGTAGAAAAACATACCAAAATGGACCTTATTTTTTCCTCCAGCAGTACATTTCTAAATAATCCAAATTATATCTTCATTCCACACAAGGTGTGGAATTCTGTTGACCTCCCTAAGCTATGTATATCCTTTGTTCATCCTCTTCATTTTCACACTTTCTTGCTTTTACCTTAACTTAGTCAAACTCAGGTTTTGCCAAAATCTGTTTTTCAGTTTTTCAAAAATGTTTTTCCTATACAAAAGTGATATTTATTTTCTTGCTTTATTCTCTGGATACTTGAGAAATTCTTTTGCAGTCAGTGGTTTTGAGCTAATTGAATTGTTCTGATATAGTGAAGGAAGCATATTTTATCTATGCCCCCCCCATTTTCTAATCTGACAACACTCAGTGGGATGAGTTGCTTTTCATGAAACTGTTGGAAACCAGGGAGAAAAAAAAACACCGGAGAGATGATCCTAGGACAAAGGACAAGACATTGACATCCCCTTCTTGCAGGACGATGAGAAACTCTATGAAATTCCCCTCTTGTTCATAAGAAGTTCTAAAGTATTTGTCAGGACCATACGTTAAATTGTTATTCAAGACTATACATAAGAAACTAGTCAACTAAAATTCAGTACTAAATTGGCACCAGAGTTGAATCAATGAAATTCAAGAGAGAGTGGACATAGACCATTTGTGGGAACGTAATGACTCTAGGCTGATGACTCATTTAATTCCATCCCTCAGCTCTGCTTTCTCTTCTCCTATAGTAAATTCTTTTTTCATCAAATTAAATGACAACTGATAAAAATAAACTATATATTTATTATTTCTTGGCTAGAAGCAGTTTTCATGTCAAACAATTAGGAGTGAAATCTAACAGCTGACCAAAAACTTGAAATGGAAGTTTTGCTTTCTGGATAGAAAAGTATTGCAAACTGTTTCATATAATGGAAACACATGAAAGCATAATGTAACCTTTGGAATCTATAACTTTTGGGAGTAACAAAGCTCTGATTGGTGCAGTTATGTAAATTGTATTACAAAGAGGGAGCACATATGTGGAGAAGCAAGGAATAATCAACCAAGGTGGAAAAGTAAAGCAAACATTCCCCCAAATAAAACTAGAAGTACTGATTGCTGGTATACTATCTGTTCTACTACCTTCTCTTTCCGGGTCTTTTTTTTAAAATATAGATATTTTATTAAGTTTTTTATCGTTACAAGTCTTTAGTGCTTAATAAACAACATGTTGTCTGGGTTCACATATTTAACATTGATAATAATACGGTTTCTATTTCTACTCTCTATTCTGCTTTTCTAACCATTTATAAAAATTATCCCATGTTTGAAAATATTCTGTATCTTCTTTCCCTTTCATTTTCAATGTAAGCCTATACATTTCTGCACAATCCAAAATTTTCCTAATTATATCTTCTTCTAATGGTGTTTTTTCATTTTTCCAATATTGTGCAAATGTAATTCTCGCTGCTGTTAATACATATAATATTAAATATATACATTTTTGTCAGAGTTCTCTGTAATTATACCTAGAAGAAATAGTTCTGGCTTAAAACCTACATGTTTTCTTAACATTTTCTGTAACCAGATGTGCATTTTTGACCAAAATTTTGTTGCTTTAGGGCATGTCCACCAAAGGTGATAGCACATGTCTGGCTTTTGCCTACATTTCCAACAGTTACTAGACATTTTTGCTAATCTTGCAGGTGGTAAATAAATATACATTTTATATAGATTTTCTTTATAAGTAGCTGCCCTTGTTATTTTATAATTTCTTTCCCACAAATTTTTGCCATTTTTCTAATTCTACATTGTGTACAATATTTTTTTTTGCCCAAGTTATCATTATTTCTTTAACTTGTTCATCTTCCATCTTTAGGTTTAACAAAAATTGATAAGAGTTTTTAAATCATTTTTTTATCTAATGACAATAGTATCTGGTCAAAGACTGTTTTGACTTTATAAAAAATCCATATGTTTTGGCATCATTTTTGTATCTCATTTGCATCTGCAAGTGATACCTGATACCATGATACCTCAATGCCCTGTTCTTACAATTCTTGTTTTTTTGTAATTTCCATCAGTATTCAAAATGTCCCTGTATGTCACAAGTTTCTCATAGTTGATTAAATTTGAGTGCACAAATGCTTCTGTTGTCGAGATCCATCCTGGTATTTTCATATAGATTTTCATTTTTATCTTTTCCCATGTCAGAAGTAAAACATTTCTTATATAGTGATTTTGAAAGTATTTATGGATTTTGTTCTTCCCATACCATAGAAAAGCATGCCATCCTTTCCAGGTCTTTGTTGGTGTTACCATCTTCCAGAAATGATAAATTGTCTTGAAATTTTTATTAATCAGTCAAAATAAGTATTTAAGAATCATTAATTTTTATAATGAATCTGTGTGCGCACCATCAACAGTGTGGAATCCTGTCTGGCTTTTGGACTGTTTTCTGAAGAGAAATGATCAAAACACCATCTTCTTTCTTCCTTTATTTTCTTGCTAAAAGGATCACCTGAATGCTTCATGGTCAGATGGCTACTGGAAAAAAGAAGTGGCACTGCCAGCTGTGACACATGCTTACAAGACAATATTGGCTTTTGGAACCAAGAAAAGCAAAATGTTATTGGAAAAATAAGATGAATCCTTTCTTCCATTTCTAAGTGGTACTTTATCAAACAAGGTAAAAAACTTCTTTCAGAAGTTTCCTCCTCCACCATCTCCCACTCCAATTTGGCATAATACTTCTCATCTGGGAAGAACAGGGATACATGCACATCTCTGCTCTCTCTATGCAATCAGGTGAATTTTATCTTGCAAATGGACTAGAAAATACAGGTAGTTATCAACCAAAGACTGTAACGAAGTCTGCTCATTAGAGCCACAAGTGGTGACAACCATTAAGTGAGACAGCCTTCCTTAATGACCCCCACCGCCTGATCTTCCTCATGCCACCATTAAATGAATATATGGGTAATGACCATACATGGGGTACCTCATGGATGGTGGAGGCTCAGGAAGGTCTGCCAACTAGCTGAGACCATAAAGGAGGTAGACAAGCAGCAAAAAGCTTTGCAAAGCCAAAAAGAGCCCAAGGGGGGGAGGGAGGAGGGGGGGGGGGAGGGAAAGCCCAGCTCAGTTAGGGACATTTTAATGCCTTCTTGCTTGGCCAATGAAGTCAAGCTTGTGGGCTGGGCCTCTGCCCTGATCAGCCTGCCTTTAGGAGACTGCAAACTTCTGGCTTTTTCTAACCTTTGGGGAAGCCAGCCTCCTGCATGCAAAGGTGGCAGCTTCAGGACAAGCTTCCCCTAACCTTCCCTTGCTTAACCCTCTCTTCCCCCAGAAACCCACATTTCTTCAATAAACAAAACAAAACAAAACAAAAAAACCCTTATTGATCTTTCTCCCTCCTCCCAATTAGATGCGGAAAGTAAACTCTCCGCCTCTGCCCTTCAATTTCTAAAGCCTCATTCTCTAAATTTACTGCATGCCTGGAAAGAGAGTGACAAAATCTGTACGTTACCTTGATGAGAGACTCCAGGGTGAAGAATTGGGGAAAGGAAGGAAGCAAGGAAAGAAAATCTTTCTTCAGCTTCTTTGAGAAGCTGAAGACAAAGTTTAGCCCCAAAGCAAAAGCAGATAAAGTATAAACGTGTAGTAAGTGGCAATGGCAGTAGATGGGTCCTAAAGGAGTCAGCATCAAAAAGTTTGGAATCCTCTGGAATGGTTGGAGTACTGAACATGGCAGCTGCTTCCAGGACGGCATGAGGAGCAGGCCGAAGCCCTGTGGGGTCCCATTAGGTCTAGATGAGAGAGAAGTGGGAGAGTGCTACAGCTTCCCTGTGGTTGGTTGCAAGGGTGAATGACCATGGGGTTGCTGCAGCTGCCGTAAGTGTAGCTTTTGGATCGTCTGTCATATTTCAAATGGCCATTAAGTGACTTGTTGTATCTTGAGGACTACATGCCTGATTGGAGAGGCTGTAGGACTGAGAAGAAGACTGAGAAGTAATGAAGGGCTAGCTTTAGAGAGCCTGTTTCTTCCACTTGTTTGAACAAAGACTAGGAAGCATTACATATAACAAGGGGATCAAGGGCAGAGCCAGAAAGACAAAACCTATTACAGGAATATGACGTTTTTAATTTTGTAAATCAGATGCCCCTACATATAATCTACTGGGGAATTCAATGGGGCTTAGTTCTAAGCAGATATGTATGTCCCTAAGGAGTGGCTTCAGAATTAAGGCCATTCAAAATGAAAATGTAGTAAACCTAGGCCTGCCAATTTGACTATATGCTGCAGAATTCCAAAGACAGGTAACACTTCTTTCTATTGTTTAGTTTCTTGGCTATTTCTTCGCTACAGTCCTGAATTTGGTCCCAATAGGTATAGGTAAATATTGCTGAGCAGAGAACGGGATACTCTTATGATGACTGATTGGCTACGTACCTCCTGAAAAATCTTGAGAGATACTTTGGATCTTGGATCAACATTTACAGAGTATAGGAAATGAAAGTCAGCCAGTAGAACCAATGAGGGAGTTGTGGACAAAAATGCACTTTGAATCCTTGCCCAAACAATTAATTTCTCTTCCCCTTCCACATTTTCCTCTCTTTGAACTCTTCACCCTTCCCTCCTTTTCTGCACTGTGTCTGTTGCTTTTGTTTCTTCCCAGATGTAGCCGTATGAAACATCTTTTCTTGGTAGGTTTTCTTCTCTGATACAGAGATACAATTATTCTTGACATTTTTTCTTCAGAATTTATCTAGGGGACATAGATATATAGAAGGGGAGGAGGGGCAGATTATTTTCTTTCTTAACACATGAGTGGTGCTAAAATGTGAAGTGTTGTGGGCTTCTCCTTTATAACCTTTTCGGGAACATCACTAAACAGAGCCCTTTGCAAAACCTGGGCCTTTGCTGGGAAAGAAGATAGCATTTCTGGTCCCAGTAATCTAGTTAGGATTTCTCAGTTGCCTGTCTTTTGTAATTCAGGGCAAAGATTTATTTATGGGAGGGAATATTTTATAGAAAGAATCGGATCTGCCCCCAACACTATGGATTGAAGCAGTTGGTTCTGGAATCAGTGCCCAGTTCACTGAAATATTATTTCTTTTTTAAATTGGAGTCAGTTTGGATTTTCTTCCTCCTGTCATAAAATTACTTACTCATAATTGGTCTATAATTCTTAACAGTCATCTATCAAATTATTTCTTATTGTTAGTTTGCCTGCTCTACTATAGGTTAAATTTTTTTTTCCACTTCTAAAAACTTTCTATAAATGCCCTTTCAAAGTTCTCCACTAAACTTTGGAGCAGGGCAATTGGTAAGGTGACCAACTTTTTTTACAATGAAAAGGACACAAATAAATTGAAGAAAAAAATATCGTAAATAAAAGAAACATCTTATTAATTGCAACAATAATACAGAATACACTATAATATGATAAATGCATAATAAAAACATTTGTAACAATAACATTTTATATTATAATTATGCTTACATGCCGTGCCCCCACCCACAGCCCCCCTGCCAGCATTGCTGCCCCACCGTGTAGAGCGGGCCCCGCAGCTCCCAAAGCACCAGCTGTGCCGGCTCCAGCCTCAGGGGGGACAGCCTGCCGTCGATACACCCTGCTTGCAGCTGCCCTGTCAGCACCACCGCCCATCCTGTGCAACCCCGTGTGGAGCAGGCCCTGCAGCTCCCACAGCACAGGGGGCAGCCGGCCACCGCTGCCCCTCACACCCCTGCCCACAGCAGCCCTGCCGCCCCTGCCTCTTGCGCCTGCAGCCATTATTGCCCTAGTAGGGCCGAAGATCAAGAGAAAGTGACCATGGCATCACTGCTCCAGTCTCCTCCAGGTATTTTCGGGACTAACTAGGAGATGGTGCAGTTGGGTAGCAGGGAGGGGTGCAAAGTTCCTGCCAATTTGCCTTTGCTGCAGACAACTTAGATGTGCAAAGTTCGCCGGCTGGGTGTTTTGGTGCACTCAGCAGCAATTCCTATTGCCTTTCGAAAGCCAATAGCGGGAGTAGCACAGCTCATGCAAAAGTTGAAAAAAAACATCAAAAAAGGTGCCAGAATGCTGTTCTGAGCATTCTATGAAAAAAAAGCCCTGCAGATTAGTCTTCAAATATCAAAAAGGAGGACATGTAGGAGGACACTTTTCGAGGGAGGACAGAACTCACAAAAGGAGGACTGTCCTCCCTAAAGGAGAACAGTTGGTCACCTGATAATTGGGTGGATGATTTCTATGAACTTCTCCAGGGGAAGGAGAACTTTTCTAAGAATTTGTTGGGAAGAAAAACTTTTAAAAGGCAGGATTTTTTTTTAACAGTAAGGGTATAGTTATGCTGTTAGTGAAAGCCCTCAAAGAGAAGAGTTCCGCTTTGAATGTCACTGAGCTACAGGAAGCTAGTACTTACTGCTAGAAGGATGAAAAAAAAAGTGTATTATTTATGCACACCCCTTGGCTATTTTCAAAGAAAGAAGATTCACCTTTCATCTGTGAATTTCTCCAAAATTGTCTTCAGATTTTCTACAGCAAATTCTCTATCAACTAATAGAAGGATAATTGGTAGAAATAAAATACAGAAGAGTCCCTGAGATCTATATCTAACACACATACACATACACTTCCCTTCATAAATTTAATTATTAAAATCTTTATTTACTATTTATGAAAGTAACTGAATTGTTAGCTGTGCTAGTTTTCAAAGGTAAAGACAAAGGGTTTTGTTTTCTTTGTTTATTTTTAAAGTTTGTAATATGTTCATCCATAGCATACCACCAGCTTCTATGTTGTCAGAAAGGATAAACATCATAGGATTTCAGAAGCAGCAGGCAGGCAGGCAGGCAACTATTGTGAGGTTGTCACTACCACCCTCCAAAACATATTATTTAGCATACCATAGGGCACATTGCTAACTGTGAATCTTTAACCTCTAGTCTAGACAGAATCCTAGAAACATTCCATCTGGCCAATTCCATTGGATCAGAATCCAAAAGTTGTCAAAACTCTCTTTTGCTTGTAGAAAAACAACAGACCCTTTTGCAAGTGGTTCATTTTCTCCAAGGCCAAAATAAGTTTAATGATCCCAGTTGCTTTCATAGTACTGGATATATTTTTCATAGCCGAGGATAAACATTTTCTGAACCCCTCTGCTTGGTGTTTATATAGAAAATTGGTCCAGAAAAGAGTCATTTATCTGTGCTCCCTTTCTGTTAATTTGTTTGAAATAAACAGTTATGAATAAACCATCCTTTCTCTAAATATTTTTAGATGATATGGTGTTCTTGGAGCTCTTTTCTGTACATTGCATAGTGAGGACAATAATAATAATAATAATAATAATAATAATAATAATAATAATAATAATAATAATAGTAGTAGTAGTAGTAGTAGTAGTAATAGTAGTAGTAAAAATGAAATTTTCAAGACAGCATCTGTCAGTGTGATTTTTTGACTGTTTTATCCACCAGATAGTCAATAACTAGTTGAGTCTTTATATATGTGAGAGATTCACATCAATAATCAATATGCAAAAGAAATCAGAAATACTAAGTGAAGATAACAGAGGGCTGTACTTCTCTAATAATCAAATACAGGCATTTCTGAGATAATAAATGGTTGGAGCTTGTGGGAGTTTTCTATGGTTTGATGTGAAGGAAAGTGACTGCCATTT